GGGATTAGCTTATTTAGGCTATGGCATCTGGGACAAATAAATTAAAGAACTTCTGTTGGAATCAGTGTGGAACTGGAATCAATTTTGGGGGTTGAGGGTGAAGTGACAGAGTGGGTTGTAAAATATCTTTCCCTGCCCCACTTGAAGATGGGAGCATAGATCAGAGGTCCTCAAACTTTTTCTCCCCGAGCCCTAGGTTTCTAAATGTCTGATCTTAAAATATTCCAAGTACTTGGCCTGACCTACTTCTTTTTTGCTGTAATATGACATTACTATTCATTTTCCCCCTGTGTAACTCAGGGGTGGGGAACCTGCGGCTTTGAGGCCACATATGACCCCCTAGATCTTAAATGCACCTCCAACCGAACCACAAGGCCACACTTGAGGACCTAGAGGGTCCCATGTAGCCTTGAGGCCTCAGGTTCCCCACCCCTGCTAATGATTGTTGTTTCTGTTTTTTGTTTGTTCCCCCCCCCCCCCCCAAAATGAAAGAGAACATTGTTCCATTCAGAGAGAGCAAACTAACTTGACTCTTTTAGCCATTCTTGTGTGGAAAAGGCAACACTTACATGGTTGTCAATACAAACCAGTGAACTGGTAAATGCTTCATGTCTTGATATTTTCATCAGTGGCCAAAGAAGTAAGCAGTTGACTCTATCAGGTCAATGGGAAGTTAGAGGAATTTTGCTCCTTCCTGAGCTTCTGGATTTATTCTGGCTTTGAGAATATTTGTGAAACAACATGGCTAATATGGCAATGGGTTTTGCATGAGTGCACATGTGTAACCTATATCAAATTGTTTGACTTCTCAGGGAGGGAAGGATAGAATTTGGAACTCAAAATAAAAAAAAAACACAAACGTTAAAATTGTTTTTAAATCTAATCAGAGAAAAATTAAAAATTATTAAAAAAAGAATATCTGTGAAAGGTGTAAACTTCAGGATGATATCACAAATCTACTGATTTCTTATGCAATTTTACCCTCTTCATCGATATGTGATGAAGTTAAGCTGAGTACTGAATTGATATGATTTCCTGATTTCCCCCTACTTCTTCCAGCAGTATCTATCCAGGGAGGAAACTGGAGATTGGGTGTGCTGGAGCCAGCTCAAACCAGCTTGCAAGATCTGATTGTTAAATTTTTGGTGTGAGCATTTATACATCAGACGTTGGCAAATGATATAAATCAAGGCTTGATTTATTGTTTTATTCATTGTCTAGATTTAAAGTGATGGAGAAAATATTACTAATGCAAGTTAAACTCAAAATTGTATTATGTGTAAATTTTTTCTCTGAGAGCTGGTTATTAAATATTTGCCAGCACACTTCTGGTGTGTGGGTTTTGTAGAATATTTGAGTTGTGAGATGGGGCTGACATAGTAACCATAAAAACACTGGAAAGGGTCAAAAGAACAAGATGCCAGAGAAAAACTTCACCTTTTGCACAATTTTGCTGAGGGTTAACCTTGTCTTTCTGCTCAATGGAAACATGTATCCTTCCTTAAACAATACTCATTCTTACTTTATGGGATTGTGAAAATCATGGACAGACCTGGGCACAGGGAGAATCGGAAAGCTGGGACAGAGAAGAGGAGTTGGGAAGTGTTAGAATACTAAGATTTGAATCCTGACTTTGTTACTAAGCAACTATCTATCCTTGGCAAATCACAACCTCTCTAGCTTGCAGATTCCTCATCTATAAAATGAAAGACTCCACTAGTTGATATCTAAAACTATGGTTCTATGACCGGCTGTAAATCCCTCTGATTTAATCAGTCAGTTAATAAGCATTTATTAAGTGTCTTCTATGTGCCAGGCACTGTGCTAAGCCCCGGGGATACAAAGAAAAGCAAAAGACAGCTGCTACCCTTGAGGAGCTCACATTCTAATGGTGGAGATAGTATGAAAACGACTATGTAGAGATAAGCTATGTACAGGATATACAAGAAATAATCAACACAGGAAAGGCACTGAAATTTAGAGGGATTGGAAAGGCTTCCTGTAGATTGTCAACTCCTCCATGTTGTGGAATTCTCCCTCTTCTCTTAGGATACCTCACATGGACCAAGTGAGGGAGAGGTTTTAAATATGTATATTAGATACTACTAAAGTTCAATTTCTTGTTGTTTACATAAAAATATAAATAGAGCTAATATTTTCTTCTATGCCCTTGAGGTCTGTACACCCCGCTTTGGAGAACACTACTGTAGATGGGCTGTCATGATATTGTTGTGAGAGAATAGTGGGAAAAGCACTTGATAATATGTTAGGAGACCTGGATTTGAGTCTGAAATCTACCACTTCTAGTTGTGTGATTCAGGGTAATTCACTCTCCTAATATGTGTACTACCTCCCTCCCAGGATTAGTTTGAGGGAAGTGTTTTATAATCTGTAAAGTAATGGAGAAAGGAGTTATTGGTAATAATAATAATAATATAATAATAATGAGTTATTGGTAATAATGGTAATAACTGGTGATAATAATATTATAATAATAATAAGCTACCCCCCTTACAAATGGTCAAAAAGGAAGATAAAGGGTAGAATTGTCAGTTTCTAACCTGGTAGTGTCAGTCAGGCAAGGCACCAGCAACAAGAACACTATGCTAAGTACTGGGGACATAAATACAAGCAAAAATAAATCCCTGCCCTCAAGAAGCTTACATTCTAATGAAGGAAGACAGTATCCAACAGGGAGCTGAAAAGCAAGGGAGGAGAGGGGAGGGAATAAGATGGAGGGGGGGAGGATAGTGTCCTTTCGCAATTTAAAAAAAATAAATTTATTATTTATTTTTAAACATTCTTTTTAGTTTAATTTTGGGTTCCAAATTCTCTCTCTCCCACCCCTCCCCCACCGACTGGAAAATCAAGCCAATGACATCAATTATACTTGTGAAATCAGTTAAAACGTATGTCCATATTCGCCATATTACAAAAATAAATAAAATAAAGAAAGCCAAACATTGTATTTCAGCTTACACTCAGAGTTCAACAGTTCTCTTTCTGAATGTGGATAGCATTTATTCTTTATGAGTCCTTCGAAATTGCCTGGGATCACTGTAGCCAGGTCTTTCTCAGTTGATCATCATTACAACATTGCTGTTATTGCATAAAATGATGCCTTGGTTCTTCTCACTTCACTTTGTATCAGTTCATGGAAGTCTTACCTTGTTTTTTATTTCTGAAATCACCCCCCTCATCATTTTTATAGCGCAATAGTATGCCATAACAATCATATGTCACAACTTGTTCAGCCATTCCCCGGTTGTGCTGGTCTTTACCCAGGAAGGGCACCTGCTCTCCAGCAGCCACAAGTCTCTAGCTCTCCTTTCTGCCTTCAGAATGAGACCAGGGCCCCTGTTCCCTTGTGATCCTTTGCAACAGAGACCCAGAACTGCTTCTGGGCAATAGAATTGCCAATCAACCCCAGATACACCAACTTCCAGTAAAGTGTTCCCTGTAATCTCTTTTTGAGCAGTTGTCTGACCCCCTTACTGTCTCTGGGCAGAGAGCCCCTGAAGCTGCTTCTGCTGCCTCCAAGTTCTGCCACTGGTACTGCTGTGGTGTACATATGCTCTGGACAGGCTTCAACTCTGGTGTCATAGACCTCTCCTGCCAGCCTCATAAGTTGCTTAGACTGGAAAAATGTCTCACCCTGACTTATTGTAGGCTCTGCTGCTCCAAAATTCGATTTAAGGTATTAAAGTTGATTGGAACGGGCAGCTAGATGGCACAGTGGATAAAGCACTGGCCCTGAAGTCAGGAGTACCTGAGTTCAAATCCGGCCTCAGACAAAACACTTGACGGGTACAAGCTGTGTGACCCTGGGCAAGTCACTTAACCCCAACAGCCTAAAAAAAAAAAGCTGTTTGGAGGGGACTGTTGGGAGAATTCAGCTAGGTTGCTGCCTGCACTCCACCATCTTGGTTCCTGGGTATGGTGTTAGTGAAGTCAGAACCAGAACTAGTAAGGGAATGAAGTTTGGCTGACCTAGGTCTTTCCCCAAAATGGAAGCCCAGTGAGAAACAGACAAGTAGAATCTTTGCTTTTCTGAAACATTGGCCTGGTCATGGGTGACTCTACCCATGGAGGGAAACTGTTCATGGAAAGAGTTGAGGGAATTGAATTATTAGAAAGATGTTGATCCAAGGTATTAGTATCCTTGCTGAAGCATTTGCAAACTATCAGATAAAATCTCAAGATGATGGGGGTGAGGGGAGAGAGAGACAGAGACAGAGACAAAGACAGAGAGGCAGTGTAAAAGTAGCAGCTCTACCATCAACTTCCCCCTTTTAAGGTTATTCCTATTGGTCAACCCAGAGTCTTTGCATTTTCCCACCAAACTTTGTAAGAAAGGATGATCCTGCTTTTGTGGACTTCACTAACAAAATATTTGCTTATAAAATTCTCTTCTGAAATTGATTTGACCACTCTGACCTATGAGGTAATTTGTTCGTTGTTTTGTTTTGAAGTCAAGGCCCAAATCTCGAAATCATGAGTATAACATTTGAAGGAAAACCTTGAAAAAGTTATTTTGGCATGAGATTAGTCGGGGCATGTCATCCCATTTGAGAATTCCTGACCTCTAACAAGAAACCATTTCCTCATCTCAAATTACTCACAATTCTGTGTACCTGATATTCATTCCTAGTTAGTCAACCACAACCATTTACTATATACCTACTATGGTGCTAGTTTTGTGCTAGGTACTCAGGATACAAAGATAAAAGTAAAACAATATCTACCTTCAAAGTGGGGGGAACTGAAGGAATGGGAATAAGCATTTATATAACAGAAACTATGACAAGCACTGTGCTACGTGTTTTTTCCAAATATTATGTTATTTGATCCTCACAACAGCCCTGTGAAGTAGGTGTCGTTATTATCTCTATTTTACAGTTGAGGAAACTGAGGCAAACAGAGGTCAACCAGATCACATGGCTAGTAACTGTCTGAGGCCAAATTAGAACTCAAGTTTTCTTGATTCCAAATCCAGTGCTCTATCCATTGCACCCTACCTGCCTCTGACATGTAAGTATATATGTGTACATGCCTATAAAATGTTTTATACATATACATACACACAGGAGTGAGGACAGTTAGTGAGCATGTGCAAGTTTGTTACTTGATATATAACTGGGGTAGGGTGACCACCTCATTCTATACCTGCTATTAGTCTATTTTTCCTTATTTGTTGTCAACCCAGATTTTAAGACAGTCAAAGGCCATATTTTGATATTTCCTTATTAATAAAATTGGAACAACTCTTTAATTAGCTCTGAGTCCCACATTAGTTTATTAAATATTATTAAATAAACTGGAAAAGCCTTTTCCCCATGAAATTTTGCTCATTTCTCTCCCCCCCTTCCTACTGCATACACACACACACACACACACACACACACACACACACACAGACACTCCTAATTGCTTAAGCTTAAATTAGCATCAAAGTTATTGATGATACAATTTATTAACAGTATATCAAACAAAAAAATATGTTTTGCTTTTTTTTTTTTTACAATGTATCAACCAGAGTCACCTCTGTCACTGCTACTGTTATCTTCTCAATTCTGGGAACATAGTGCAACCATTTAGTTCTATCAGGTTACCAGTTAAAGTCTCTTCTCTCTTTAACCTTAGTCCTAAAGTCCATTGGTGTGAGGCTCTCTCTTACCAGTGGGCTTTAGGATTGATGTTACATTAAAAATTCTCTTCTGAGCTTAAGCTCAGTTCTCTCAGGAAATAAGTTCTTAGTCCTTTCTTCTTATTCTGTCCTCATTCATCATAATTAATAGACTCTTCAGAATTACGGTTAAATGCTGCCTCCTCATAGATTCCTCACAGAACATCAGTTAAACTGCAATTGTTCATGATTCTATTGCATTTTCATTTCTGGGCTTCTTTTAGGAGGTAACTGGCAGATTCTTAATATTTTCATTTTGATGTTTTATTCTAGTAGTTTTGAATAGTTCTCATTCATGATTTTTTGAAATATGATTTCTAGACTTTTTATGGTTGAAGTTTTCAGGTATTCTGATGATTCTGAGATCATAATCCACTAATAAGTGGTCCTGGCTAATATAGAAAAACAAAGTGAATTTACATTGCTAGCAGAATATTGACAAGTTGTGGTTAGTTTCTCTCATAACCTTCCCTGTTAGTTTCTCTGCCTCAGGCAGGAATTTTCCAGAACTAGGAAAAAACCAAACAACATATTTTAGGTGATTGTTTCTGTTTGGGGAAACCTGTCTTTTTCTATTACTGTTAGGAGTTTTTATTTGTGTATGGCATATCTTTCAATTGATATTTTACTGCCTTTCATTAAAAAAAATATTCTGGAGAAGACTACAAGGGGATTTGGGGGATGTGTGTTAGATGGTAAAGAGAACAGTAAAAGCTAACCAGATCCTTTTATTTGGGTCTGTGTTGCTCAATAGGAGAAGCAGGTCTGTAAAATAGACTGGAGAAAAAGGTCTTTATAAGAATGCAACCAAACCAAGGCTAAAGAATGCCAAGATTTTTTAGATACTAAATATGACTGAGAAATATAACAAGTTTAAGATTATATTCTCGGTTTAATTACTAATGGATAGGCAAAGTTGCTAAAAAAAAACCATTTTTCTTTTCAAATTTCAAATATAGCTGTGTCTGACCTGGACTTCTTTTGTTTGAAGTGAACTCCCAATTATGTTGTTTTGAAATCCTATGGAAGAAGGCTGCTCAGTCATTTATTTCATCAGGATTTTACGTATACACAGGTGCTTAATAAATGCTTTTCTCTGCCTTCCCTTCTTTCCTCATCTCCACTTCCCTATGTTATGTTTCAATGGGTACAGAGAGTGAAGAAATTCACTCTTATCAATTCTGGTTAGCACTTGTTCTGAAACTTCTCATCTTAGAAAGTTGCCTGGGGGTTCTGAGACGTCAAGCACTTGACTCGGAAGTCAGGGCCAGTATGTGTCTGTGGCAGGACTCAAACCTAGGCTTTCCAGACCCTGTGGAATTGAATCTTTATTCCCTATGCAACTTTTTCTTGTGAACTTTCATCTCCAAATACTGAGTATTAGATTCAGCAGAAGTGCTGTCTGGCAAATTCCCTAGAGGAGAGAATGTGGCAAAGTATTTGATTTCAAAGGGCCTTAGTTCAGGGATGCAAACTGTATAAGAAGGAAGTAGAAGAATCCAGATGGCAACAAAACAAGTAATGAGGGAAAGAAGGTGCTGTCAATGCAATTGTAAGCAAGACTATCCTCTCCCCACTGCTAAAATCAACTACGTGTTATTTGACTAATAAAGATGTAATCTCATTTCCTTAGAATTTTAAAGGTTTCTGAATGGATACATATTCTCCTTTTTAATTTCTATGTTTAGTGAGGGAGTTTCACCGGTTCCAACCTTATCTTGGACTACTATAAATGTCAGACCTGATCCAGTCAAGACTTATTGCAGGAGTTCATCACAAGCTTTACACAGAAAGCAATCCTACTACAAGTGGTTTAAGAGATCCTTAAAACTGAAGAGTTGAGGCAGACGGCAGAGTTCTTCAATATAAGCAGGAAGGCCTTCACAAGATCTATGGGGACTTTAAATCTCTGAATGATGAGTGGTAGTGCTGGTGGGAAGTGCATTTTTAATAGTCCTGCAGAATCATCAAATGTCTGAATCTTCAGTGAAGCAGGAAGGGGAAGGGTCCTGTAGCATTTCCATTGCTATAACGTGCTTCCTTCAGGGCATCTACAACTCTTCCTGGTTTCAACTCCACGGAACCAGCAGCCTCTGTCTGCAGAGTCTCATCGCAGTGCTGCTATCTTAAGCCTCAGGGGCCATCTCTCTCAGCCTCCTCTACCCGCTGATTGAAGAGTTGGAGGGTAGAGTGCCGAACTCTCAAAGCCTTCCTTTAGAGAAGGCAGAAATTGGGCTCCCATCTTACTCTACTTTGCCCAGTTTCAACTCCACAGAAAAAGGCGTCCTCACCAACTACCACAGCCCCTCTTCCAGTTTCCTTTTGTGTATTGTCTTCCCTCATTAGATTGCAAGCTCACTGAGGACAGGAACTGTCTTTTCTTTTTCTTATTGTATCTCTAGCACTTAGCATAGTGCCTGCTCCGTAGTAGGTGCTTAATAAATGTTTATTGAATTGAATAGAATTATAATCTTTACATTAGAATCATAGGGAGTGGAATGAAGAACATCACTCTTTAGTATACCACAGTGCAGGCAATTAAGCACAGTTCTAAGGTTCCAGGGTTGAGGCTGTATTCATGTTATTGGGAGCATTTGAAAGGGGGAATTATGTTGTTTTCTGGGATCTACCTTCAACAAGTTCTCATCCTTATTGCCAGAAAGGTCTCTCCAACTATCAATACCCAATACAAGAGCCCTTCAAACCTTTAACATAATAAACTATCAAATTACTCAAATGTGGTTAACTCAAACGGTGCAAAATGCTTTGGATCCCATGAAATCTGACTTTTCCTTTCTTTGGACTCCATAAAGCAAACTCTTCTAAAATTAGTGTTCTCTGTTCTTCTTCTTAGGCCTGTTTTTGGACCTCTTCTTGAATGTGGGAATACAAAATAATTGATTAAGGGATGATAGGATGATTTTGTTGTTTAGTCATTTTCTGCTGTGTTCAATTCTTTGTGACCTCATTGGGGTTTTCTTGGCAAAGACACTGGAGTGGTTTACCATTTCCTTCTCCAGCTCATTTTACAGATGAAGAAACTGAGACACACAGGGTTAAGTGACTTGCCTGGGGTCATACAGATAGTAAGTGAGGCCAGATTTAAACTCAACAAAGGAGGCCTGGCACTCTATTCACTGTGTCACCTCACTGCTTTTTAAAGCTATGCAGGTAACAACAACAAAAAGAAAAGACCAAAGAAAGAATAAGACTAGAACCTGGAATGAATAGTAGATTGGTGTTAACAGTTAGAGAAAAGTAGAAGTCTTCAACTCTTACTTTGTTCCTGTTTTGACTATCCAGAAAAATAATCTTCTATGGGAAAGAAACATAGAGAGGAAAAAACTTTAAGAACTGAAAACCAAGATTAGTGAGAAAAAGTTAAGAATCTCTTACCTGCCATCAATGAGTTTAATTCCCCAAACATCCAAGAATTACATCCCTGGGTCCTGAAAGAACTTGGGTATTCCATTGCTAAACTACTATTGATGACTTCTGAAAATCTGTGGAGGATGAGAGATACTGCAGGACTCGAGATGGGCAAATATTGTTTCATGTTTCAAAAAAGGGAGGAAAGAAAAGTCTTCAAATCATAGACGAGGCAGTTTTAATTCCTGTTAATATTCTATAACGTTATCTAAAAAGACGGTTTGTGAGTATGCCTAAAGAGGGGTTTGGAGATTTCTAAGTATCACTATGGATTTATCATGCATATGCTAGCCTAAATTTTCTGTTTTGACAGGTGGGTAAGGAGAATGTTGCAGACATAGCACAAGGCATTTGATAGTCGATCATCATATTTGAGACTCTGCAGAGCTGGGTACTCCCCTAGAGTTCAGTCTGATATGTTGCTCCCTCTACTGCACAAACTGAGCTACTTTCATTTCTCCATAAAGTTCTTTACTACTTCTATACCTTTGCTTATATAATTTCCTATGTCCATTGGGTTTGTCAGGTAATATTTTGCATTATAGTCAGTGTTTTTGACTTATTCTCATGCTAAATTATAACCTCCAAGAGAATAGGAACTGTGTCTTAGGCAAACTCTGTGACTCCCTCAGCACCTAGCATAGAGCTATGCAATACAGCAGGTGCTTGATCAATGTCTGGTTATATGAAATGCCTAAGCTATTTTCTTATTCTTCCTGCTGATAGCCTTTTCGTGCTCATTTCTGGATTCTTGGTCATTTTGGAAGGTTAAAATTGATAGGGCTCTTTATACTAGAAAAGTGGAATGTTATAGCTGCCATGTTTGTTTGCAAGTATGCACTTGTAAGATTCAACAGGGTGCAGAATCTTAACATTCTTGAGGACAGTCTTCTGTGATATCTTAATGGACATGAGA